GGGGAATGGAGAGCCAGGAATGGCACTGGGAATGGAGCTGGGAATGGAGCGGGGAATGGAGCTGGGAATGGAGCCGGGAATGGAGCCGGGAATGGCGGAATGGAGGTGGGAATGGAGCGGGGAATGGAGCCGGGAATGGAGCCGGGAATGGAGCCGGGAATGGAGCTGGGAATGGAGCGGGGAATGGAGCCGGGAATGGAGCTGGGAATGGAGCTGGGAATGGAGCTGGGAATGGCACCGAGACTGGCACTGGGAATAGAGCTGGGAAGGGAGCGGGGAATGGAGCGGGGAATGGAGCGGGAATGGAGCTGGGAACGGAGCTGGGAACGGAGCTGGGAATGGAGCCGGGAATGGAGCCGGGAATGGCATCAGGAATGGATGCGGGGAATGGAGCGGGGAGTGGAGCCGGGAATGGAGCCGGGAATGGAGCTGGGAATGGAGCCGGGAATGGAGCGGGAATGGAGCCGGGAATGGAGCCGGGAATGGAGCTGGGAATGGAGCCGGGAATGGCACCGGGAATGGAGCCGGGAATGGAGCCGGGAATGGAGCCGGGAATGGAGCTGGGAATGGCACCGAGACTGGCACTGGGAATAGAGCTGGGAAGGGAGCAGGGAATGGAGCTGGGAATGGAGTCGGGAATGGAGCCGGGAATGGAGCCGGGATTGGAGCTGGGAATGGAGCCGGGAATGGAGCCGGGAATGGCATCAGGAATAGATGTGGGAATGGAGCCGGGAATGGCACTGGGAATGGCACTGGGAATTGAGCTGGGAATGGAGCTGGGAATGGCACAGGGAATGGCACCGAGAATGGCACTGGGAAGGGAGCGGGGAAGGGAGCGGGGAATGGCACCGGGAATGGCATCAGGATTGGAGCCGGGACTCGCCGTGCCACGTGTGCCCCGAGCTCGTGGTTGACAGCCTGGCATCCCTGAAATTCAACTTCCAGTGTGCTTTGGGTCAGGCCCACAACAGCTTGAGACTTCACGGGATTTAGGACTATGTCTAAATACCTAAACCCCTGTTCTTTTCCCAAGGATATTAACATTTTGTTTGCAGTCAGTTACCGTATAAAGGCAAAAAAAAGGTACATAAATACCCATAAGTATGTATATTAGATATACATAATGCATATGTAATGTAAATAAGAGGTATGTAAATGTATACAAAGGGTACCTCGCTAAATAGTCTTGCTTTATGTTATAAATACTAGATTGGCAAAACTGCAGTAAAATATTGTTCGTCTTTTTAGTCACATTTCATACAGTTATGTGTAGTTCTATTTTTTGACCACTGATACAAGTTTTCCCTCCCAGAAATATACCAATAAAACCACCTCTTCTGTTTTCACTTTTCTGTTCTTCTGTGTAGTTATGTTCCAGTCACAGTTCTGAGTCAGCAGAATACTGTCACTTAGATAGGTGCAGCAGTCCTCCTTATTAACCAAGAGCAACTTATGTGTATGTATTTTATTCAGAATTGTGGTTTTTAATACATTTTTTTCTTTTTTTTAAAATTTAGGTGGAGAACAGACCAAAGTATTATGGAAGAGAGTAAGTGTTTTTCTTTTTGAAGTGTCTGTTGGGTATATCCCTAAGTTGTTACTCTAGGACTAAAAAAAAAAAGGCCAATGGAGGTCTAATACAATATTTTATTTTACCTTTCACTTCAGCTGGGAGCCAGATACAATGAAAGCCTAATAATATAGCTCTGTTACAGTCCATTACTGCTGGTCACAATCCTTGGATTATGCTTTTGTGTGAGCCTGCATGTTTATTTTGCTTCTCTCAGGAGAGTTTTGGGCAGAAAGTGTTGTCTGGGGTGTTCCTTCCTTTTATTTTAGTCATTGTTTAAATGTGCTTCTGCACTGGCCTGGTAAGGAGAGAAGCACCTTGTCTCTCTCACTGCCTTTCTGTGTATGTTCCTTTCACCACCCTGCTGAGTTCTGGAAGTATGTGTATAGTGCTGCTTGTGTAACTGCTGCTCTCCCTGCTAAAGTTATGGGGTCCAAAATACCCAAAGAAGAGGTGTATTTTCCTTTGAAGGAAAATAACAAACCACTAGAGTGTAAATCCTTTGTGCTCAGGAGTCTTTTTGCCGATAAATACCCAGGAAAGAGCTCTGCTGTGCATTAGCATGGAGGTCTGGGCAGGTGAAGTTGAAAAGCACAGCCACTGCAGCAGCCACCCAGCCTTGGCATTTGGCCTTTACTAAAGTAATATGCTGAGACCTCAGCCCTTATCACTAGCTGAATTGCTTAGATCCCATGTTCTATTTTTTATTCCATTCCAGACACGCCGTCTGTGTTTAATGATCCTTTTCTACCATCAGAAACCTCGCCAGTAGCTTTGCCCCTAATAACTGAAGTTTCATTTTTTAAATATTACATTTGCCAATGAGGAATCCAGATGTAGCCACTAGAGTACAACAGAGCTGAAGACAGCAGCTAGTTGAGTACCACATCTTACTTCCTACAGCAGGACTTGTAAAACGACTGCTGCAGTCTTATCCAGGAACATGCCTGGGTTTGTGGAGCAGCACAGCTGACAGGAACTGTGAGACATCACCTTAGTGAACCTGTCCAGGCAAGATCACCTTAGTTATTACCATTCAGAAAGGAGATTTCAGAAGTACTGAGGTAGTCTCATAAAAACAGTTGACTCAGTACTCAGTAGTACTTGGAAAGAGAAACATGAATTTCTAGGGAAAGAAACTGAAAAAGCCATCATAACATTACTATACAAATCTGTGATTTGGCTGCATTTTAAGTAGTGCAGGTATTTCTGGTGCCTCTCTACCCTCTCCTCCTCCATCCTTTTCCCAAAGGTTCTGAGAGAAGGAGAAGGTACTGCGAGGGGCAGCGATGGTGGAGCGAAGGGATGCAGCTCCTGCCACAGGAGCACAGGTCACCTCAGTGGTGCCCAAGAAGGGCACGTGCACAGTGCCTTTTTCAAGTTCGTTGCCAGAGGCAGCTGCAGAGGCCAAAAGCACCAAGATCTAAAAGGGTTTACAAGTGAGATTCTCAAATCTGTGACGGGTAAGGTCACAAGTGATCAGACAGGGTTGTCTCTAAAGCAGTGATGGATAGACAGGGATGAGAAGTGAAAGAAATATGTCACTGCTTCCTGCACTCTTGCTGTAAGCATTTCTTGTCGGCTGCTGTCAGAAGCAGGCATTAGTTCAGGGGATCTTGTACCACATACAAGCTTTTTTCATGCTTTTATAAAAATGTACTGAAAATGTCCACAAGAAAGCCCAGACTACCCAGTGTTTACCACCCATGGTTAAAGAAATTTCACAGGTGCCCCAAGTATCACATCCAAGTGATTTCTTAAATTGATCACAAATATTTTGTCTTAATATCTAACCTAAAGTTTGCTGCTTTTTGTGGGGAATAGCTTATGCTTAAAATTTTTTACTACAATTATGAGTTTACTGGTAAAATCATGTTTAAGTTATGTCATTTAGAGCATGCTTGTCCCCCACCTTTACAGAGGGAAAAGATGAATCAATTCACACTACTTTTAATACAAAGTCACTCTGTCATCTGAACCTAGTATTTTCAACATGTATTAGTTGTGAAAAAGACAATGTAAAGAGAATGGAACAATTGCATTTACATCCAATGCATTTTTTCTCTTTCACTACCAAGCCAGAGGCAGTGTTAGGAATGTGCCACTTCATATGTAGTGTCAGAAAAGAGAAAATGCTGAAGGCCAGTAGATTTTAGTGCCTTTTTTTAGACAGCAGCAAAAATAGAAACTTTCAAAACCTCTGAAGAGACCCTCAGAGACTTATCAGCTAGCAAAATGTGCGTAGGAGTTAAGACTCAAATTGCTGTCAAGACTGAATTTGTACCTATGGAGAGATCACTGCTAAATATTGGTTTTCATAAGGTTAATTGTGCATCCTAGGCCCTCTTTCTTTCTTAAAATAGCAGTGACAAAAGAATCAGAGAAGTATTGCTTTTTTCCAGCACTGAATGAGGAGCTCCTTGACATGAGGAAAACAATGTTTTTCTCAAGACTTCTCTGTACCTTCTTCTACTTTAATATATGCAGAATAGAATTTTGAATAATTTTTCCATTTTTGTCTCTTTTCCTTACAAATTTGGGGAAGCAATATAATATTAAAATTAAGCAAATTGATAATAAGAAGGCCTATGATTTTAATAGTATTTAAATGTTTATGTATATAAACACATATATTTAAATAGCTTCTTATTTAAATATAATAATTAATTTTTTTTTTTAAATGCCTTTTTGCCTAGTTTTCAATTCTGTTGTAAGGCCACTAGAAGGGAAACGAGGAGGGGCATAGACTGGTAAAAGAGAAAAGTTATGAAAGGATAGGGCACTTACAGAAGATAATCCTTGGGTCCAGCTGAGCTTATCCTGACTGGAAACACATTTACAGTGTAGATGTTGTGTCTATGCTGAACCTATCCATCCTGCTCCTTGGATGCTAACCTGATGGCTTAGACCACGGTCCTCGAAAGTGCTGAAGTTTTCAAATGTTTTCTGGGGTGGAGGAGGATGTTTTTCTGGTTGGATTGTTCTGTAAGTCACTGAAATATCTCCCCTTAGGTTTCACGGGATCATTTCTCGGGAGCAAGCAGATGAAATACTTGCTGGTGTAGAAGGAGCGTATATTCTTAGAGAAAGCCAGCGGCAACCCGGCTGCTACACCCTTGCTCTCAGGTAAATGCTGGTTTAATAGAGGCCTATAGTTCCAATGTAAATGTGCTTAATGGAGGGGATTTTATTGGTCTCTTTTGAGTGAAGTCTGTCTCCACTGTTACTCAATACACTGTGCAATACCAGAGTCATTTTACACCCCCGTGTCAGCGGTTTGACTGTCGTGGTACTGCAGCAACCCAGTGTCTCCTTTTTCAGAAGCAGTGCCCATTTTCAGATTTATTTTTTTTTTACCTAGAGTTCAATTTTATAAAGATGGATACTCTCCTGCAAGACTCTATAAAAGATGTGAGTGAATACAGAACAGGAACACATTCCAGTAGAGGACACAGCCAAGCTGTCCTCCGAGCTCAGTGTTGCGTACAAACATCAACAACTATCTGTGATAATAACCCCAAATAAAGCTGGAAAATTATGACATACAGAAGCTGAAAACTGGCAGTTTTCTTCCCCAGTAGGAACTCAAGTTTTTTGTAGAAATACATTGTGAAGCATGAAGCATTGTGAAGCTACTGCTCAAAGAAATGAGTCTGCTATTTGACTGAATGAAAAATTCAGTGGGAACCCAAGCTCCAAGCTCACTGCTCCTCACAGGTGCCTTTCCTGGTTTAGCTGTGTCATTCAAACCCTGCCCACTCAGGTCTTAATGGCACTGTGTATTAGTGGCAAGGGGACAAGATATTCAGTTGGGTTTTGGTGAAACAAACTCCTTGGCAATATTTTGCAATTTTTATAGCATTTTTACTCCTGTGAGATATACACAAACTAAATGTCTGCATTTTTACCCTTCTGCTGTTAAGACACGAAGAAAAATCCTTTGAGGAGTTTACCCCAAGTAGCTGTGATACAGTGCTGAAATCATGCTTAGAATTTGTATTGATGTGCAGATGGTAAAGCTGGAAAAGCTGGTGAGTCATGCCAACTAAAAAGTGGTGTAAATTAAAACCAATTTGTGTCAGCTGAAAAAGAACAAACACAATTTTTTAGGGTTTTGGAGGAGATTTCAAAATGAAGAATAATAAAAAAATAAAGGCTAAGAATTATGGCAAAATGCCTATTGTTTTGATGAAACAACATGTTTTCTAAATCCATCTGCATAATTATTTGTAGAATCAAAAACAGAATTTAATTGTAAATTGGGATTATATATGAAAAATGTGGGCAAAGAATAAGAGGCCATGTGATTTGAAGTCCCAACAAAATTTGCAAAGACGTGCAGTTTTGATGCAATATAAGGACCATTTAACGCAATATTGCTTCTTTGAATGTTTTAATCAGTGATGGGATTCCAACTTCAGTGTCACAAACTGAATGTGCTACTACAGCACTTGGATTATTAACACACTTAAAGAATCCCAATAGATCGTACCTGTGGTAAATAGGGCTAGAGTTTTCCCATATAACTGGATATTTAATGGGGCCCTGAATTAGGAGCTTGGTCTCCCTGGCTTCCTAACAGAGTGTGATTCAGGCTCTTAGGATTTTGATTACTCGGTAGATGTCCATCACTTTGTTGACTGTAAATATGCCCATATGTGGTTAAGCACTGACTTTCTGCACCTCAAAAATGCTTCAGGATGGAAGAGCCTCCAACACAGTCTGAGTTCTCTCTCTCTTCTCTCCCTGTTTTTTTTTCTGGTGTTTGCAGATTTGGTAACCAGACCTTAAACTACAGGTTGTTCTATGATGGGAAGCACTTCGTTGGGGAGAAAAGATTTGAATCAATCCATGATCTGGTTACAGATGGCTTGATAACACTGTATATAGAAACAAAGGCTTCTGAATATATTTCCAAAATGACAACAAACCCCATATATGAGCACATTGGATACGCCACTTTGCTTAGAGAAAAAGTGTCCCGGAGGCTGAGCAGAACAAAAAATGAATCAAGAAAAGCAAGCGTAACGAGTGAAGAAAATACTCCAGTTGAAAAGGTAAGTATTCAGTTTAAAATTTTTGTAATTAATACCAGTCTTTCTGTCAAACCTGAGAAGAAAAAGTTTTGTCAGAAGACTTGTTTCCATTTTCCTGTACTTCGGTAAGTATTGGTATCCCACTGCAAAGTTTACATCCTGTTAATATGACCTTGGTTCCCAGCTAATATTTGACCGGAGCTTCTGAGGAAAACTTTCTAGTAAGTACCAAATGCAAATGTTTTCTCCATGTAAATATATGGGTATATACCATTTACCTTGGGAGCTGAATCTGAAATTGGTCACAGGTTCTATTTGTCCATGTATATACTCAAGCATTTTCCACAGTAGGGTTATGATCTAGTTCCCAATGACCCTTCACCACAGCTCAAGTTTGTTGTCTTTCTGTATATAGCTCAAAGCTCCTCTTCTCTAAAAAGCCTTTGGTGGATGGGTCTCAGATTGGGATATTGTGTGTTTTCTTTCCTTCTCATGGATCTGAAATTGGGATGTTGTCTGTTTACCTCCATTTCTTCTTGCTCTTCTCATTTGAAGTGGGCTTTGCTTGATCTCATCTTGTGCACTCGTATCCCAGAGCGCTGTATGGACTAGGACTTAGATGATGATAAACTGAGAATTTTGTGCAGTTAGCAGCCATCTGAAGGTGTAAAATTAGAAATTATTTTACATATGAGAAAAAGCCTTGTAAGCAGTGACATGTGGATATTTTCATTTCCCAGGTGGTATGGCAGCAAGAGCTGTCAAACAAAACTTTGTTTTTGAGTCTGGTCCTTGTGCTGAATTGACTTACTGACATTTGTTAAGCATACTTCTGCAGTGTGACTGTTGATTGTAGTGTTCAGTGCTGGCCAGCTAGTTGGGAACTAGAGCCAGTTTTTATTTGGAAAGCAGGGAGTGAATTTGCTGTCATACAGTCATGACGAGTATGAAAGGGATCAGCTTTTTTATGTGTATCCTCGTATCTCTGGGGCATTTCTAGCAGAATTATCTGTTGGGTTCACATATCTGCACTGGCTGAGTATTTACTGGTTTGGATTTCTCAGTAATAATAATTGCTTGAGTAACTGACCTGATATGTAAACTTATTCATCCTCTATAATAAATTAATTGCATTGACAATGACGTTTTTTAGGGAAGGGATACTGATGCAGGGAAGGCCTTTGGAGAATGGCACAAGAGCAAGTCCTCCATTCACATTTTATTTCAAAATGAATCCACTGGTGATGGTAGCTTTTGGTTCAACTGAATGGTGGTGTAATATCCAAGAGGAGTAGATGCCATTGAGACATCCAATGCTCATTCACTTGTTTCCTGTGATTGGACACTGGGTGATTTTGAATGCTGTAACAGGCGTAAGAAAGGGAATTTTTACTTTATTTGAGGCACAATAAAATGTAGACACAGTGCAGTGTGACAATTTTTTTGGTGTAGGTGTTCCTGTGAAAGTGAGGGAATGGTCCAGAGGGTGTTCTGGAATTGGATCATTACTGGGATGATTGTAAATATTGTTACATGCATACAGTATAATAAAGTAATCATGGCTATTGAAAACCATGCTACATTCTCTAGGAAATCAGAAGAATTTGATTTGTGCAAGGAAAAATAGTTTCAAAATTGTGTTTGGTTTTACTTACAGTTTTTGTAGTTGAGGAGCAAGTCTTGTTATTCTCAAAAGTGCTCTCAAAGGCCTCAGAGGGGTTTGCCCTAATACCAAATATTCCATAACAGATTGTGTTTTCTGTTGTGCTTACAGCTGGATGCCATTCTTCAGGCTGGGCAGCTTTGAGTAGGCATTGTAAAAAGAGTTTTAGACCAACAGAAGTCAAACCATTGCTGAAGGGACCCTGGCCTCTCTCCTTCACCATCACCTTTTTATTGACGTTCAGTTTTGTTCAGCTACACAATAGGTGACACTAGCAAACAGCTCCAGATTAAAACTGATTCAGCCAGAAGAAAAAATAAGCGAATTTTCTGCCACATCTGCTGCCTGATCCACCTCATATGAGTGGAAATGCAGCACAAGACTCTCCCCCAAAAAGAGCTCAAAAGATTATTAATGTGAGAGGAGTACTGCTTTCTTAGTTCCAGGTACCTGTGCTTGCAAATGTTTGGAAGCTGATGTAATGCACTGGCAATAGCGAAAACACACCTCTGGACCTCATTAATGGTTGTATTAGGTCTTCTTTTGTATTGCTGCTGAATGAAATATAAGTGTTTTGGAGGATTATTTGTCTCTGAGGCAGTTCATGATGTGAAAGACAGGTCCTTGGCCTACAAGGACTTGTGCTCATCTAGATTTCTGTACGTGCAGGCAGGAGCAGCCTGCAAGGCTGGGCTCTGTGGCTGTGCTGTCATGTAAAAATAGCTGGCTTCAGCTAAGCGACTACACTGTTGGCAAGCTACTCTGCCTTCCTCCCACAGAGGGGAAAAGCAGAAGGAGGAATACCAGCTGTTTCTAACATATTTTTCTTGCCAGGAAGAGTAGGAGCAATCACAGCTATAAGAGGAGTGGGGATAAATGGGCAAGGGGATCTGCTCAGGCTGAAGACCTGATGCAGCAGCTGAAGCCTTGATGTTGGTGATTAGGACTCTCACTGGGCTTTTCTACCAGTACCAGTAGCTTTCCATCATCTCATGTAAATCCATGTGGAAAAAAATAAAGATTACATCAACTGAAATATTAGCAACTACAAAAAAAAGCTCACAGAAGTCTCTATGGTGAAGCCTACCATAGCTGCTTTTGATTCAAATGCTCCTCAGGGAAGTTATGAGAGTTTTGGTAGCAGAAACTCGGGGGTCATATTCCATTTTGTTATCCACAGTAGCCTCAGATAAAGTATGGACTGAGCTTCGGAATAAACTGGTGACTTATTGATCATTTGCCAGTACTAACAAATGAGGATAAAATAGGATAAAAGGAATTTTGTATAAAAAGTTTTTTATATAAACTCTTGAAGTCCTCTAAAATAGAAGAATATTATGGAGAAGTGATTGGTTCGGTGAGAGTTCTATCAGATGTTTTGCTTGAGGCTGATATGTCTTGTACAGAATTTTAGACAAAGGCCATGGTTTGCCCACAAATCACAACCTTCACCCACATCAGTAACTCCAGAAAATTTCAGACCTCTAGAAATAAATTAATGAATATTCGGTATGACAATTTTCTGCAAAGTAAATTCTTTGCTGAATATGTGAAAAATCATTCATGTTTTTTCCTCTGGCCAGCTGAACAGGTAAAATGTTGAAAAATAAGATTATTGAACTGCTTTATTTGAAAGTGCTGCCTAGAGCATTTTGAATGATCCAGAAGTGATGGGGGGAAGCCATACATGCAGGGCAGAAGCTTCCATCATTTCTCAAGAGGAGGATGAGAATTCAGTGCTCTAAGGTTAAGCACCAGTACTCTTCTAAGAAATTAGGCTCTTTACAAGCAAGATTTTGTTTCATACTGAAACTAATTCCGGAGTGTGAAAGTGCAGCTGCAGGCATTTGTCTCCTCAGTGGGTTTGTTAACACCATCCAGGGACTCTGCTCGTTCTGTCGCCTCCCACGATGACAGCGGGGATTATTCAATGTCTCAGTCACTCCGGTGCCACCGCGTCCGTGGGG